ATCCCTGTAGAGTTCCCAAAGGCTCAGCGTTTTCAGCCATAGTTTACAAACCAATCGGATTTTTACTTGCTTATTTAGATATGCATTTCAATTGCTTTAGTTCGATATTTTGCTTGCTTTATTTCCTTTCCGTTCGATTTTGCTACTTGTTCCTTAGGATAGATTTATTTGCTTTCTTTTGTTTTAGTTTAATCCGTGAAAAACAACCAACCTCTAAAACCAATCTAGTCTAGACATAAAGTTAGAAGCCGTAGAAAAATACCAGGCACACAAATCTCTGTGGATTCGATCTCTAAATACTACAACTGATTAGCTGTGCACTTGCGGCTTTCATTTGTTTTTGTTAAGGGTAAAACTTGTTCCCTCACGTAGTTGACACGCATCACCACCCCGGCGAATAGGACGGCTAGAGATTCGTTCAATGAGTCCCTGTTCTGCAAAGAAATCAACATGGTGGAAATACATGAACGGTTCAGCTTCACAGTTATGTGGTATTATAACTGACTATTTGTAGTTTCAAGACTCTTTTCAGGATACTTGGGAAAAAACATTGTAAAATGGAGAAAAACCATATTTTCAACTCATAGTCAAATCGTCAGAAGTTCAGTCTCAAATAAAGACCTTCTCACCGTCTGATCCAGCTTTGGTGAAATTCAAAAAGATCTAACTGACTTTCCATAACACTTTACTTGAGGACAATCCAACGATTCAATCAAAAGATACATGAAGATCAAAATGTCTCATCGACGAGTCCGATATTTAGCTAACCCACGACCAACAGCCTTCTGGCCGTGTCCCACACTTCTCACCCACGGTGGACCATCATTCCACCAGTCGCGGAGGATTCTTACCCGGGGTGCACCATATCTCAGCCCCAAAGCCCAACATCAAGCCCATTTCATAATATCTCTTCAGAGAAGCCCTAAGGATGACCTAAAAGACATGAGGACCTATAAATACATTTCTTAGCAGCCCTATTTCGGGTGAGTACTCCTATAATGAGTTTTTGAGCCACTAAACTTTTGGTTTTTAGGTTTAGGTTGAGGAGATAGGGATTCTTTCCTTGAACCCTTGTTTTATCATTTTTATCTATCTATTATACTTTTCTTTTCTTGCATCATATTAGAGTAGTATAGTAATTGGGTTTAAAGAATCCATCAAAGGGATCTATATGTTCGATTAGGATTACTAGTTTTCTCAGCCATATTAAAGATCCCATCTCTTCTAAGTTGTACTTAATGCATGAGGTTAGAGTCATGAACTGATCTCTAAACCTAGGATTGATGAGAGCCACTACAGTGATGTATCAGATCGATATACATATCTTCAGAAGAACATAGTTGATGTAAGAGTCGAAAGCTACCTATAGAGATGATGTGAGCAAGAATGAATTCCGTTCAGTTAATGCATGATCTTACTCACGGCATGAGATGTTTTAAATTTGGACCTGGGCTCAATTATAATGGTCTTCTTAAATTTGATGTTTTAAAGAAAACATGGAAAGAATTATGTAGTATTTTTGACAAACAAATTAATACAGGTCTCCATTAGTAATGAAAAAAAAATTTTAGTTGTAATATATTTATAAGAAATTCATTAGAATTTTGCTGCGATAAAATTGTCCAAAATTGTGCAAAATGAGTTTTTGATGTAGAGAAGTACACACTTACTTGTGGATGCATGTCTGCAAAATGTTTGCCACCAATCTTCATCTGTAGTAATTCTGTCTTCAACTCTGCAACAGATCATAGATAACTCTTTCAGAACTTGTCCAAAAGATATGTTATGTTATTTAAAGGTCTGTTGATGAAAAACTTATAAAAATTATCATGTTTTCATCCTATTCTTCTTCTTTAGTGGTCTAGGTTTGATTTTCATGCTAAGAAATCAATTTAGTGTATACAAATATGGGTTGATTTAGTGTATAAAAATATGGGATCAATGGTTTAACTTACTTAGTGTTACTTATCACACACTTTATTAAATATAAGATTTCATTTAAGTTGAAAAAACAAATGTGTTCGTTCATTTCACTCACTTGCATTATCTGTAAACTCAATTGCTAGATAGATTGCAAAGAATGTGATCATAGAAGAGATGTTTTAATCCTATATGGTGTTTGGAGGGTCGTCATAATTCTATAATCAGGTATTGGGATTAAACTCGATAGTGAGTTTGGAAGTTGCTTTCATCTCTCCTCTCATTTGCCCGCTTTTGTGTGTTCGTTTATAGCTTCCCCATTTTCTTTTGTTTATTGAATTAGAATTGGAAAAGACTATACTTTAACAATAACAAGAAGATTGCAGCTTCTTTCTTCGGTTATTGCAAGCACCACAAATTTCTGGATTTCTGGATTTCGCTTGCCATCTGGTTGTGTTGCAGAAATAGAACGTTTATGCTCGGCTTTCTTGTGGTCAGGGCCAAATCTTAACCCGAAAAAAGCTAAGATCGCGTGGTTTGATGTATGCAAGCCAAAAGATGAGAGAGGCCTGGTATTAAAAAGCATTCGTGAAGCAAATGACGTCTGTGTATTGAAGTTGGTGTGGAGACTAACCACAGCGAACTCATTATGGGTGAAATGGATAAGGGCTAACCTGATGCGTCAAGAGTCTCTCTGGATAACTCCGGAGCCTACAAACAATTCTCCAGGGTTTTGGATGTGGAAGGAAATCCTGCGATCACGCCTGCAGCTGCAGTGTACCTCAAAGTGGAGATCGGTAATGGCCGATCATCTCTTTTCTGGCATGACAACTGGTCTCCTTTCGGGAAAATTCTCAGTCTGCTAGGAGCTCGTGGGGTTATCGACATGGGTATAAGGGAGGAATCAACGGTGGAGGAGGTCATTCTATCGCACAGACGCCGCAGACATCGTTTAGTGGCTCTCAACACAGTTGAAGACGCAATCGATAATGCAAGGCTGAGATACATAATAAATACAGAGGATAACAAAGGAATCTTATTATCGCCCTTCCTTCGATACCAAGGTTACTCGAGAACAGTTGAGAACACTAGCTCCCAAAGTCACCTGGTCTAAAGGCATTTGGTTCTCCCACAGCTGCCCGAAATATAGTTTTATGGTTTGGCTGGCGATGCGTGATCGTCTCTCAACAAAGGACCGAGTGCAAATGTGGAGCCCCAACGTTTCCACAGCGTGTATTTTATGCCAAGATCTTTATGAAACAAAGTCCCATCTATTTGTCTCTTGCTCTTTCTAATCACAGGTCTGGAAACATCTAGCAAAGGATCTTCTTAAACAAGATTACTTAAACGTTTGGTCAGTAATAGTTGGTCTCATCTATCGTCCTTTTAGGGACCGACTACAGACTTTTATTCTCAGATACCTTTTCCAAATGACAATTCACGTCCTTTAGATGGAGATAAACGAACGACGGCATGGTTCTATCCCATCTACTCAAGCTTGACTGATCAAGTTCATAGACAAGGGCAATAAAAATCGATTCAGCTTAATCCGGTTGATTGGCAATACTAAATATGAGGAGGGACTTCAGGTCTGGCTAGCCCCGAAACCTTAGTTGGTGATGGAAAATGGGTTTCTTTTTTGTATGTAAATTTTTACTAGTGTTCGCATCTATGATGTAGAAAACGATGTTTTTTTGGGTCTGAATAAATTTAACATTGATTAAAAAAAATTTATGATGATATATTTCTTAAAATCATTTTATTATAAAAAAACAAAAAGAAAATTCAAAACACAATCTCTTCTTCAAAACCACTATTAAATTATAAAAATGTAATCTTAAAAAAAACCATTTGCACTGGTTTCACTTTCCATTTGTTTGTTACAAACATCAGAAGCCAACCATTTGGTTAACACTTACTATGCTCTTCTCCATGGGGCACTTGAAGCCCTTTCTTCTCACTACAGAAAAAGTCCTCATCGATAGCACAGTTTCTTTTTTTTTTTTTATTTGCGGCATTAGACACAACAACCAGAATCCTCTACAATCGATCCACCAGTCCCACGAAAATGTAAGGAACTGTTTGTGATATCGACTTATAGATCTTGGTGGGAAGAGCAATCTTAAATATTGACTTGAAATCAATGTAGATCAACAATCTTTCTCCTCAAACAATCACATCCAAATACTCATATTTCCTGTTATCATTTTTCACAGTTTTATACCTAATAATTGGCAAACTTAATAAGGATCAGATAAGTTTTTATGAAGAAATGTACTAGCAAGACTAACATTCTTTCTCGATTGCTCCCAACAAGATTTGCATACTGCTACATCATAGCCTAAAACCACCAAAACATGGATGAGAGTTTGTAATTGTGAATCATGATTGTTTTTCTCAACGATCTTTGTTCTCTTTGTCATATGGTTCCTCTCTCCGTCAGAGATGTTAGCAGAAAGTAGAAAGTTCGACAAAAAAATTGAAAATTTTGAATGTAATCAGAATTTTTGTTAATCTTTCTTCACATCAATCATTAGCGTAAACATACATCGAAGCTTCTTATTATCAAACATACAAATACAGATATTATCAACGGAGTTATACCCATATTACATATCAGATTGGATCTTATTTGTAACGCAAAACAATATAAGTTTTTTAGCGGGAAAATACAAAAGTAAGAGATGGGAGAACAGTTGAAGGCGATAAAGGATAGCGATATAAGACAACGGTTAAAGATAAATGTGAGGTTCATTCTTCTTCAATAAGCGTCAATACTTAAGATCTTAAATTTTCTTTATGAGATATTGTCAATAGCAATTTATGTTTGAATGAAAAACTAACTCTTTTCCTAATTAGAACGATCAACCTCACAAATACAGGATTAAGAAATTGCACATGTATTTTCTAGTTATTTTTTATTCTGGTGTATATTTCCTTTTTGTAGGTTCTGTTTTACCTGAAAAATAAAACTAACCATGTAAACACATTTGATTTTAAGGCTTTAGTGAGTACCATCACATTTCTTTGAAGAAATAATCTCTGTATTAGATTTTAGTATGTTTATATAGAATCTTTTCATGTCAATTACATTCCCACATGTAATAACTCAAGAAATAAACAACTAAATCACAATATAATATAATAGAAGTTCCACAAGTTTAGGAGTCTTGAATCTCAACAAATCACTGATGGACATTCTTCGCGGGTGGGTAACCACAACTTTTCTTACATCGTTCATGGCACGCATTGTCAGTGCCACAGCCGACATCACAATTTCGCCAACATATGACGCGTTGGTCTACTTCATTGGCCTCTGCATATCATAAAAATCATTATCATCATTTGTGAAAACAAATACACAATTAATCTAAACTATTTAGCAAAATAAAGTTTTTTTTTTCACTTTGATTTTATACCATAGAGTCACTGTACAAATCTCATGGTAACTATAGATTTCGAATCCATGAGATTTGATTATATATATAAAAAATGGTCATAAAGAAGAGATTGAAAAGTTTTGTTAAGTACTTGTGTCGGAATACTGAAAAGATGGAGGAGAAGCGCATCCGAAGACACAAGCATTACAAGCCAAATTGTTCATGATTTGACACTGGGACTTGCAGTCTGTTTCTTGACACTCAATCACAGTCTTTGCTGTCACGCCCATTACTACCAAAGCCATCATCATTGTTATCTTGATCATACTCGACATCTTCCCTGTAGTTTTTTTCGGGCAGTGTTTATTAACTTCTTTTAGAGGGTAATTTTTTTTCTTTGTCAACAATTCAACACAATCTGACATTATATAAAGTTGAACGTGTTTCATGATAGCTAAACAAGTTTCAAAATACATTTTAAAACAATTTCTATATCTTTCAAATTTTAAAAATAAATAATCTTTCTTAGACTAAAATCTAAAGTAATAATGATGGTTTGATCATTTACCTAAATTGTAAGTATTTCCATCTTTTGTTATTCCAACTAATAATATCAACAGTTGAAGTAAAGTCTAGCACTATGTAAAATTAAGGAAAAAAGGAAAAGATTTTTTTTTAATTGTATATAGCCACAATAAGATGATTGAGGAGCAAGTGATATTTGTTTGTTGTAGTCCATCAAAAAAAAGAAGTGATATTTGTTTTTAACAACTTAAAATGTAAATAATTAGTTTTTAAAATCCTGGAACACTCTGGTAAAATAAAAATAAAAGTCAATTTTTTTATTTAATTATCAAATTTTTTCAAATTTAAATTACAAAAATAGGAATGGTAATAAACTATCTCCTCAAAATATAGGAATATAAATCATTAAGCAAAAAAGGTAATTTCAGCTTGTAAGTTTAAATATATACTTTGAAATAATTAAAAATATTTACGAAAAGTAGAATGATAACTTAGAACGTTACTGAAATATATCTTATTATTATTATTATTATTATTATTATTATTATTATTATTATTATTATTATTATTATTATTATGAGAAAACAATTTAATGGAAATATAATTAAAATAGCAATATATCAAACTAAATACCAGCATGATTTTTTATCAAATAAATCTATGAATATTTTAGATATATTAAAAAAAATTAACGGCTACTTGGAAATATATGTAAATGATTTTATTATAATCAGAAAATGGTGAATGTAAATGCAAGTAATTCAAGACATATATAAAACTATACTCTAAAAGGAATGATCAAATTTGTAAATTTAACAAGAATAGATTACAGATTGTCTAGATGTGTCCAAAATTATAAAATTGCTAATTTCACACTATGATTGACATAAAATAAAATCCCGTATATATTGATTGAAAAGGATCATTAAAAAGCACATTGGCTTGATATGTGATTGACAATTGTATCATGATAATGTTTCATCCCTATAGAAATTCTCAACTATAATAAAAAAGCTTCAAATTATTAGAATATTTACATTTATGTCAGTTAAATTAAATTGTTTGGATATCACATTAATATAATCATAATATAAATCAATTATACTCTCTTTCTCTCTCTTTCATTCTTTATAGTTTTTCTTCTAATTATATCATATTAATTTTATCATTATATTTTTCATATAATCATTTTTGTAATATATTAATCATCATATCATCAACATAATTATAAAATATCATATTATTTTGCATGCGATGTGACTAATGTTTTTTAAAAACCAATATAAATTACTCAATTTTATAACTAAAAAAAAAATTTTATAAATAAAAATTACGTAAATGCTTTTTAATAATTGCTAAATTGATTATATAAAGTAATTGTAAAATTTGAAAATAATGAAAAATAATTATTACGTATACAAATGGATCTCAGACACATTATAATTTTACCAATAACTAAATAAAAATTATAGCATATTCTGATTATCTATTCTTATTTGTAATGGCATAGTATATAATAATTTACAAAATAAATTTTATTTTCTTAGATAATTCCTTTTTTTTTTAACGTCTATTTTATTAATTGAAACTTATATAGTCTGAATGTAATACATCAGAAATTACATGTGGGACATAATGATAAGAACTATATCTGGTATTAACCAGTAAAGCTGCCTTCCCAAGAGTGTCTGCTGCTTGATTATTTTCCCGGTGTGTCCAAACAAATTCTGTATTTTCAAACTTTCCTTTCCACTTCCAGATTTCTCTGGTCCAGTTGTGACTTCCAAAGTTGAGGGTTTCTTTGTTGATCAGGTTTACCAGGTTTCTGCAATCTTCTTCAAAAATGATTTTCCTATAACCTCTTAACCAACAGTATTGCATAGCCATCAGTAATGCTTGGGCTTCACTCTCTAGTGGTGTTTGTGCTGCATTGCTTTCTGCTTGACCTGCTCCTTTGAAAACTCCATTTTCATCTCTTAGAATCCATCCCGCCTTCGCATTGTTTCTCTCCTTGATGTACATTCCATCATAGTTGCATTTTAGCCATCCTTCTTTTGCTCGAAGCCATCGATGATGTCTTGCCATCGAGGTTGGTTTTTGATGAAAGTCTGGCTGATTATATCTATCAACGAGCTGGTAGACATCTAACCATTCTTTTGCATCACTTTCAGCTAATTTCAGTGTTGTTAACCAAGGGATTTGTTTTTGTTGAAACAAAAGTGTATTGCGGCTCTTCCAGATGCGCCAAAATATCCACAAGGCATATTGATGTACTCTGTGAGGCAGTAATGAACTCCTCTTAAGTATGGCTTCCAGCTTTTCCTCAAAATTTAATCCCATATTGATGACACTTGGGTTTGGAAATCCTGAAGCTCTCCATATTTGTTGTGCATAAGTGCATTCAAAGAAAAGATGATTAGACGTTTCTTCTGAAGAAAGACACCGTAGACAAAGTGAATTTCTTGTCATATGTCTTCTTTTGAGGTTTTCACCTGTTGGGATTGCACTTGAGACCACTCTCCACAGGAAGTGCTTTATTTTTGGAGCGATTTTGAGCTTCCAGATTAGTTGCTTCAGATTAGCATTACCAGAAGGGGGATGAAGTATCCTTTTATGGGTATGAGCTGCCAACCAGTAACCAGACTTAACTGTGTAGAGACCAGTTTTATTGTAGTGCCAACCTAATAAATCTTTTTCTGATCTTGAGTTTACCCGCATAGATAGGATAATCTCTGCATCCTCTTCCACAACTAGTCTTTGTATTTCTCTTTCATTCCACCCTGACTGTTCATCAAACAGATCTTTCACTAGACATTGATTGACGATCTCTTCTATCGGTCTTGGAGGTCGTGGAGGATCTAACGGTAACCAAGGGTCATACCAAAAGCTAACTGCAGTTCCATCCCCAATGATAAATCTCATTCCTTTCCTCAATAAATCTCTTCCTTGGAGAATCGATTTCCATATATATGAGCTTCTCCGGCATTCTTCAGCAATGAGGATGTTTGTGTCTTTAAAATATCTGCTCTTCATTATTCTGGCCATAAGACAGTTTGGATTTTGTAGTATCCTCCATGCTTGTTTCCCGAGTAAAGCAAGGTTGAATTGCTCAATATCTCTGAAGCCTAACCCTCCTTCTTTTTTTGGTAAACCCATTCGATCCCAACTATACCAGTGCATTCCTCTTCTTTCATGACCTTTTCCCCACCAAAATCTTGCTAGAATCCTGTTAATATCAGTGCAGAGACCCTTAGGGAGCTTGAAAACATTCATTGCATAGACTGGCATTGATGTAGCTACAGATTTCAATAGGACTTCCTTCCCTCCTTGTGAAAGGAACTGCTTGTTCCAACCTTGAGTTCTTTCATTAACCTTTTCTAGTAGATATTGAAACATTTCAGCCTTCCTCTTCCCAAATTGCTCAGGCATACCCAAATACTTTCCTCCTCCACCATCATTATGGATCCCCAATATTGTTCTCATTTGTGTTTTAATTCGATCCTGTACTCTGCTTCCAAACGTTATTGCTGACTTTCTCAGATTTACAGCTTGATCCGAAACCTTTTCATATAGATTCAAAACCCTTTTAATTGCTCTTCCGGACTGTGGATTAGCAAGTGAGAAAAATAATGAATCATCTGCAAAAAGAAGGTGATTCACAGCTGGACTTTGGGTACTGACTTTAATCCCCTGAATCTTCCTAGTATTTGCTGCTTGAGTCATCAGATGAGATAGTATTTCTGCACAGAGAATGAAAAGATAAGGGGATAAAGGATCCCCTTGTCTTAGACCTCTCTGTGGCTGTATAAATCCTCTCGGTGAACCATTAATCTGAACTGAAAAACTCACAGACTTGACACAAGTCATGATCCATTGTATCCATTTACTATCAAACCCAAATCTTCTCATGGTTTCTTCCAAAAAACCCCATTCTAGACGGTCATATGCTTTCATCATATCTATTTTAAGTGCCATATAAAACTTAGATTGTCTTCTTCTGACCTTTAATGCATGGAATACCTCGTGAGCTATTATCACATTATCTGTGATCATTCTTCCTGGAATAAAAGCCGCTTGATTTTCTGAGACGAGAGCTGATAGATGTTGTTTAAGCCGATTCACCAGGATTTTGGAAATGATTTTATAGCTAACATTACACAACGCTATTGGTCGGAAGTCTGCCATCATTGTTGGTGTTGTTATTTTGGGTATTAGACACAGGTTTGTGTGATTGTGTCTTTGATCCATTCTTCCTTCCTCAAAGAAAGCTTTCACTTCCATTAATAGTGCCGGTGATATTTCATTCCAAAAGCTTTGATAAAAAGATCCAGAGAAACCATCCGGTCCTGGGGTTTTTTGAGCTTCAATTGAGAAAACGGCTTTTCTGATCTCCTCAAGTGATACTTCTCTTGTAAGATCATTGTTCATATCTCTTGTGACTCTGCTTTCAAAGTTGACCAAGACCTCATCTATAGCATTCTGCGGAATCCCCTGTGTACTGAATAGCTCCGTGAAGTATCTTTCTGCAGTTGCTGCAATGTTATCATCTCCTCTCTGAATAATACCTTGTGAGTCTTGTATGGACAGAATTCTGTTCTTCACTCTCCGCGTCTTGGTCACTTGATGGTAGAATCTTGTATTTCTGTCCCCCACTAGTAACCATTTATTTCGACTCTTCCTTTTCCAGTAGATTTCCTCGTCGACATAAGCTTTGTTCAACTGGGCTTCGAGAATGTCTCGTTCAGACTGTGAGACATTAGCTGATGAAGCTGCTTTGTCCAACTTATACAGGAGAATAGCTATCTTTTCTTTTGCGTTTGGTTTATGCCTCTGTTTCCACCGAGAAATCTGACGACGAATCTTAACTATTCGGTCCAACAAAGTAGTATTTTGTGATGACCCACTATTCCATTCTCGAGATACCATTTGTTGAAAATCTTCATCTGATGTCATTCTATCATCGAACATGAATTGTCCTCTTCTCTGTTGTGGTCTATCTCCCAGAAAACTGATTAGGGGTCGATGATCAGACTCATCTAACTCGAGATAATGTGTTTCTGAGTCCGGGAAAAGCAAATGCCATTGAGTATTTGCCATGGTTCTATCAAGACAGCATTGAACATAGTGACTTCCACGTTGACCTGCCCATGAGAATTTGTTGCCAACTGTTTTCAGGTCTGTAAAGTCACAGTGTCGGACCATTCTTCTAAAGTCTTGAAAAGATGACTCCGGTCGTAATCTTCCACCAAGTTTTTCCTCATTACCCAACAACTCATTAAAACCTCCTAGAATAAACCATGGATCTTTTCTATTTAAAGATATTCTTTCCAATATTTCCCATAGATCATTTCGTAAATATGGTTCTGGATTTCCATAGACAAACGACAAATAGAAACCAAATCCATTAAATTTTACAAAACAATCTACAAGATTACTAGATTGAAAATAGATAGAAAGATCAACAGAATTTTTCCAAAAGATAACTAAACCACCGCTTAAACCTATCAGAGGAACTGTTACATAGTTTAGAAAATCCATTTCACATCCCAGGTTCCTCAGATAGTCATTTCCTTGCTTTGTTTCTGACAGGCAAATGATGTCCAGAGAGTACCTTTTATGTATCTCCTTTAGGCATCGAACCGTCGAGTCACTGCCTATACCCCGACAGTTCCAGCTGAGTGTCCTCATAGAGGAAGAGGTGGTTCAGGGCCCACCGCGCCTCCCTAGGTTGTGTTCGGAGCTTCCTCCGGTGATGTACCACTGCTTTCTCCTAACTCTCTGATCTGGACTTTGTTTGCTGTCTTCTCCGTGTTTGGAACTGGGAATTTGCGTTTACGGGTACCGTTTTCAGCAACTGGGATTGATGAAGGTGTGCCACCAAAAGCCTCGTAATCACGCATTAGCTCTTGCTCTGCTATTGACATTTCACCTTTTCCCAGGTCTCTTCCAAGAACATCTCCGGTGCTGTTAGAAAAAATTGGAACCGGATTGTATAATTCTTTCAATTCCCATTCACGAACATCAGCTTTCTGGCTGTCCCATTCGTCCCACAGATATTCATCCTCTTGACATGTTTCCTCCTCCTCCTTTTCTGTTTCTTCATTGCTGTCTTCGTTCGGATCCTGTAACATCACTTCCTCGCCATCGTTCTGATCGTCTTGTATTCCATTTGGTCTCTCTTGGTTGATGTTGGCTTCCATCGCTTCTCTTCTGATAGCATCTGCTTCCTCATCATTGATTTCTTGGATACGGATGCCATTGCCATTGTGTTGATGGTCTGCTTGTGGTGGTTCCTCATCATCATCATCTCCATCGGAATGATACTCTTCTCCTCCATTTTGCACCAGACAACTCCCAGAATCATGTGTGATCAATCCAAACACATCACAGAAACCCCTGAGCCTCTCATAACAAAAGGAAAGTAATGTATTCTCACCCGGTGTGAATTGGAATTGCCTCTGAAAGCAAAGTGGATTGCGGATGTCCCAGTTGATTCTGACTCTGACATATTCAGCACGAGCCACAGCCTCTGTGTTGTAGTTGATGTCCATGAGCATTCCAATAGCCCTTCCGATGTGAGCGACGACATCTTGGTTCATAAATTGCCATGGAATACCCCTTATCTGAATCCAAAAAGGAATGAACTGCATTATTTCCAGATCCATGAGCGGAGTCCATCTCTGCAACACCAACATTCGATCAGCAAAAGCCCATGGACCTCTTCTGAGCACATTCTCCATGGATTCTTCAGTAGGGAAAACAAATTGAAAACGTCTTCCTGCTACGATACGGCCATGAATCATTCCTTCAATTCCCCAAAGTCTTGGGAGTGAAGCGACAATTGACCTTAGATTCTGGCGGCGGGGAATCGTTGGGCATCCCATGATAATGAATCTGTTTTCATTTTCTGCACGGTGGATTACTTCAATTGGTAGAACAATTGGTTCATCGTTGGCCCCCAAGTCGAGATCCTGGATAGCACGGCGGAGATTATCACCCATTTTGCAAAGAACTTTGTAAAAACGAAGAGGGAAGTAGTTTTGGATTGAAAGTTGGATTGGTGAAGAAGAGGGGGATCTTTGCATCTCGATTTATAGGTGGATAACACCGATAAAGAGGGTTCAGAGCCATCACTATGTGGTGTAGTGGAGATAACTTCCACAAAGTGGGATTCATCCGCGAAATTCGCTACAAGTTCTCCATCACTTCGAATCGTGGGTCTCGAAGTGGGGATGGTTGAGAATTGAGACGATGAGAATTTTCCGACTTGGATTTTGTCGATAACCGTTTTGACGATCAAAATGAACCGGACAATGAACCGTTTAATAACCGCTCTTAAAATCGCCTTCACAGTCACCATTCTTTTCTTTCCACCCTTAGATAACTCCTTAAATAATAGTATAGAGATGTAAATTACATTCTCTTACTAATTGGAAGATCAAACCTCTTAATACATATTTGACAAATTAAAACCCTAATATAGTCGTTTTTTTTTTTGCGTTAAACATGTAACTAAGCAATAAAAACAAGTAATTATTTTTCATTGAGAAACTTTGAAAAGAGATTTTAATCTAAACTTGTGTTTTCTTTTATATTTTCTTCTTTTATATAGATTTTGGGTTCATTGAAAACATTCAGCAAGTAATTGTATTTGATTTGAAAGTACTAGTGAGTTGATACACTCAAATATTAATCTTTAAAAGAAGCAAATTCATCGCAATTCACTGTAGTATTTAGGAACTGAGTGTTACACTATAACACTAAAAGAATTTAGTAGATCTAAGACAATATGTGGTTTCTTTGTTATTTAATACACAAATATAAATGAACATTTTAAATTATGAATAACAAAAGATCATTGTTTTACAATCAATATTAAAACAATAGTAGATGGAAAACTATCAGATAAATCCATATTCTAGTAATCATAATCTAGCAATTCACCAAATCCATCTAAAAACTCTAAAACCTAACTTTGAATAAACAATGATCATAGATAAAAGCAAAAAATGGAAATGATTTTATAATTAAATTAATTAAAACTTATAAACTAGGTTCAAAAAATGGTCTAGAGCATAGTTAAAGATTTGTCTCCCCAACATATTTATAGTGTCTATGCTCTTTTTAGTTGGCCTTAGGGTTTTCTCGAAGATGAGATCAAACAGGAATCGAGTGGGCTTGCACATGGGCTTCCGAGATGTTTTTATGTTTGCCACAGTGGAGATGTTCGAGCCATGGTCAGCTGCTTATTGGTCGTGGGTCGGAGGCTCTTCGAACTGCTTGTCTGGACTTCTTGATCTTCATGTGTCATTTGGTTAAACCCTGAGACCGTCCTCAATTCAAGTGCAATGGAAAGCTGGCTGGTCCTTTATTAACATTTTTAATTGTTGGCTGGATCATACAGTGAAAAAGTCTTCATTTGTGGTTGAACTTCTGACAGTTTGATGCCTAGCCAGAAATCTGTTTTTCCATCAAGTTTTAGTGTTTGTTTATTAGTAACCTGAAAAGTGTCTTAAAACTACAAATACACAAAAATTGTAATAAAAACACTTGAAACTAAATAAAACACTTGCAAAAACAAAGTGAAAATAGGTAAAAACACAGTATCATCACCAGCTCTCAATAAGCATTCATGAGTTGAGCCTTTTCTGGATCGAACTTACATTTTTTCTGCCTGATTGACTTAAAGGTTGGTTCGAGATCAATTTTATGGCTCATTATGTATGGGTTGATGCCAGGTGATGTGCTTGGGGAGTAGGGTAGCAAGTTTTTACCTAAATAGAGACAAATAAAATCCGCAAGTGCACAGCTAATCAATTGTAGTACTTAAAGATAAAATCCACAAGGAAGGAGGATATTTTCTGCAAAACATTTTGAAAGAGATTAAGGAAGTCTAGAACCTAATCGATTTTTATAGGAGTTTTGGTGTCACTAAAAGGGTAAATCCTAAACTAAACGGGAAAAGGAAAAAGTGCTTAAGAAAAAAAGATTTAGAAAACTAAAGAAACCTAAAATAAAAAGCTTGAGAAAATCCATGTGAAACTTATAAGAAAGAGACGCTGGGTTGTTTAGGAATATCTCTGGGGTATGATCGATTCAAAACATGCAAAAAGTAAATAAAAAAGAGATCCTACCTAAAAATTTTAGAACTCGAGCACCGATTTATGACTACGTCACTCTCGTGATACCCTTTACAGCTTGGCAATCCCAGTTCAATCAAAAGTTACGCGAAGAGCAAGATGTCCCGTATACCAGCCGGCAAACATTTCCACCCGCGACCAACAGCCATTTCACCACGGTCAGAGGCTACACGACCGCGGCCAAGCATCCATTCACCGCGGCCAGCCATCTCCGATTTAGAAGGCCCATTTGTGAAGCCCAAAATGATTCCCTCATTTGGAGAAACCCTAAGTGACGCCTAGAAATGTCTTGATCACTATAAATACATGTTTTAGGAACCCTAATTCGTATCATCTCTTATGCTCTTATTGTTTTATAATACTTCTTAGGTTTTTCAATACTTTAGCTTTTAGAGAGATAGAGATCTATCTCTTGAACCATTTTTGTTTCTTTTTCAATTTCGATTATTGCTCAGCTTTTCAATACAATGTTTTTGCTTTCTTTAATCATGCATGAGTAGTTTTATTGTTGGGTTTAAGGGATTTTTGATGGGGGTTATATATGTTCGATGAGGATTCCATTAGCTATTGAAGCCGAATCCTAGAAGTCTCTAAGTTTGACTTTTCATACTGTTTTCTTAGTGAGGGAGAGGAGGAGCATTGGTGCTCCTTAGCAATTAGCATGTCAATGGTATTAAGCATGAAGGTTGAGCTTAGCATCCTTTGAGAACCATCAGACCCCTTGTCAATGATTGCTTGTGTGAGAACTGCCCTGACTTGTATTTTATAGATCCATCATCACATTTCCAAGGAGTAAGAGTAAAGCCTTGAGAAGAAGATTCAGGTTCAGAGTTCTTTCTTTTGATTCTGAACCATCACCCTTGTTGTTGATCAGCTCTAGCTCACTTAGTGTAGGGGACCAGATGAGCAAGATGTCTTCTTCTCTAATGAAAGGCTCTCCATCTTCATACATATAGCCAGGGTTGATGTGGGGTTCTTTCTCTTTCTCCGTAGCTGAAAGGGGTTGAGTTCCACCTAAAATACCAACACTTCCCACATACTTCATCTCATGCACATTGGGCTCATCAACCTCCTGAACAACAGATCCATAAAATTCAGCTAAAAGAGGCTTAACAGGGTAAGAGACATCTTTGCCTACTTTTGTGAGCACCACTCTTTGAGTATCAAAGTCAATTCTTGCCCTTATAGTGTTAAGAAAAGAAGTCCCAAGCAAAAGAGGAAGCTCTTTGGTCTTTTTCATCTTTATGACTATGAAATCAGTGGGGACTATGCACTCACCAACCTTCAATGGATAGTTCTCTATCAGCCCATGAGGTTTCTTTGAGTTAGAATCTCCAAAGGTAACTGAAAAATGGTAGTCCTTTAAGTTCTTGATCCCTAGCCTCTCCATCATGTTTAGAGACATCACACTAACACTTGATCCTGAATCACACAAAGCATTCTCAACTCTGAACTTTCAAAGGGTGCAAGAGATAGTAAATTTTTCTGGTTTGCCCAGCTTTGGGAGTAATGTAGGCTTCATATTTGTTGAATCAAGGATGGAGACACTATCCTTTGGCTTTGCTTGACCAACTGGTTGTCCCTTCGCTTCAGCAAACCCTGAATTTCTATCTCAATGTCCTCATTGAGATCAGGTAACAAGCTCATAAAGTCTTCATCCTCAGTGTCAGGGCTGCACCCATCAGAGACTTGACCATAAAGAAGGTATTCAATTTCCTGAACAGCAGCAGCGTGATCATCACTTGAGTATATGACATTGCAATAATCTTTGGGGTTTCGAACAGCTTTGCCAGGAAGAGAGACTTGAATTTCAGCAGTGGAGATGCCCTTGTTTTTCTGAAGAGTCTTTAGTTCAGTGCCTAGTATCTCCATCTTAGAACTGAGGTCAGTATACCTTGAATCCAGATTTTGTTGACCTTGTAAGAACTGCTGGAGAACAACACTGATATCAGGACCTCGCTGCTGAGAAGAACTCAGTTGAACTTGTGGCTGACCAAATCCAGGAGGTGGAGGCCTTTGTTGCTGGAAGCTGACTTGGTTTGTGAAGTTGTGCCCTTGGTTTTGAACTGTTGGGGGATGAAAATCTTGTTGACCTTGGAAGTTACCTTGGAATTGATTTTTGGGTACAAAGCTTTGGTGACCTTGTTGAGTAGGGTATACTTAATCTTGGGGATTGGCTACATTGGTGCTTCTATAAGACAAGTTCTTGTTTTTGTTGAAGTTATTGTACCCTTGGAACTTGTTCTGATTCCCTATGTAGTGTACGTAGCTCCTCTTGTGTAAGGCCATCTTCATTGACATTGTCAAAGCAACTCCTCTCATTAAACTCACCCACATAGTTTATGGACTGCTGAGTGGTCATTGCCAGCTTTGCAACCTTAACTTGCAACTCCTTTAAGTCCTTTTCCAGCCCTTGTTGTATACTAGAGCTCTTTCCTCTATAACTTCTGTCATAATCTTCCCCATAAGTGTCATTACTCATCGCTAAGTTCTCTACAAGCTCCATAGCAGCATTAATATTCTTTGCGAGGAAGTTTCCATTGGATGTTGTGTCAAGCTGATTCCTGATCTTTGGGAGAGCACCTCTGTATGGCCTCAGAAAAACCATGATGAGAGCATTGGTTTGTATAGCCTCTAAATCTTTCTCATGCTTCCCCAAAGCTCTCATTTTCGTGTTGGGTAAAGTTTGAGATTTGATTCCTCAACTTGGCTGTTCTTGATGTGGAAAAGAACTTAGAGAGAAAAGGCAGCTTACACTGCTCCCAAGTTTGTATTGAACCTCCTGGCAGATTCTTTTCCCAATGATGAACTTTGTCTCCCAAGCTGAAAGGGAACAATCTTAACTTTAAGCTATCCTCTGAAACCACATTAATCTTTGTCAGATCACACACTCTTTCAAACTGATCCAAGTGCTCAAGTGGATCCTTCATAGGCGGCCCATGAAACTTTGAATTCTGCACCATATTGAGAAGTGATGCCTTTACTTCAAAATTGTTGTTTTGGACTGATGGAGATTGGATTCCTGCTCTGTAGTGATGGGCATTGGCCCTGTCATTACAAAAACTGGAGTTGGCTCTTGACGCCTGGGAGGTTGTGGGTGGGGCTGATTGACCTGATGCTCTTGCTGGTTTACTTGAGCTTGATGCTCATTTCTGGCTGCCTGATTTTGATTCATCTGAGCTTGGTGCTCATTTCTGGTTGCCATATTCTGGTTCACAAGGCTTGTTATTCATTTCTGTCCGCCTGAGCTTGGTTCACATGAGCCTGGTGATCAGCTTGATCCCTTTGCAGTTCCATACCCACAGCTTGACGTTCTGTTCTTGGTCTTCTTGCTCTCTTTTCTAACAAGTTGATATTGTTGTTGTAGGGAAGAAGTGGGTCACAGCTTCTTGATCTTGTTCTCATACACTTAAAACTCAAAGACAAAACTTAAAAGGCTAAACAAGTGATTAATGACAAACTAAAACAAGTAAATAGCAAATGATGATGATATGAAGATGATGAAACAAAGGTCCTAGACAGGATAGTTGATTAGGGTGTATTAATGTTAAACTAGAGAGAGGTAATGACAAACAATCAAGCAAATCCAATCAACTTAGAACTCAAAAGTAGATTAATCTTTTCCCAAGCTCATAATCTCTATACTAGTCCACTTTCAAACCCAATATTCATTTGTGAAATATGAATCTTCAAGCATTATTGACAGGTTATAAAATGTCATTTATGCATAAAACAATCATTTTCATGGTCTTAATGCATAAACCTCTAACATAGCTTGGTTCAGACATTTCATCAAACACTTTTGGTGCATGAAATGTCTAGAATCTGGGTTGAAGTGATTATCAGAAACCTAGCATTAAGAACAGCTATTTAGAGAAAAGAAAATGCATGATCTAACTCCTAAACTCCCTAATCTAACATATTTTCACCCTAATCTACTTATCTAGAATCTTATGAAACGACTACTGACTAATCATGATCAACACACTTAATCCTTATAGTTCATGACACTACTCTCATTCATTAATAATATTTTTAGAAGGAAAATTTCTAGGATTGAGTTTAGTAGCTGATGCAATCCTCATCGAACATATAGATCTCTATCGAAAATTCCCTTAAACCCAACAAGTAAACTACTTAGACATGATTAAAGAAAGCAAAAACATTGTATATAATAACTGTAAAGAAATCAATATTGAAAGAGAAATAAAAAGGGTTCACGATATATATATCTATCTCCCTAAACCTGAAAGAAACAATCTAAAGTATTCTAAAACTCTAAGCAAACTTAACACAACTTAACACACGGTTTAGGGTTTTAAAACCACGTATTTATAGGTCTTTAAGGCATGCTTTGTCATCAGCTAGGACTTCTTCAAAGACATGAATCAAATGGGTTTGAAATTGGACTTCTGGGGTCGGACACTGATTCCCCACTGTCAGAAGTTCTCTTGCCGTGGTAAACCAAGTGTTGGCCGCGGTAAAGATGGCTGGCTGGCTGCTTGAAAAGACTTCTTTCTATTTGCATAACTTTTGATTGTACCGTTGGATTGTCTTCAAGTCAAGTGTGCTGGAAAACTAGCTTATCCATCTTTAAGATCTCCAAATTTGAGCTGGATCAGACGCTGAGATGATTTTTATTTGAGGGTGAACTTCTGACGGTTTAACTCTAAGCTGAAAATCTGGTATTTTATCCATTTTGCATAGTTTTTGTCTAAGTTTCCTGAAAATAGTATTGAGATTACAAATACTAGAAAACATAATAAAATCATTTATAATAAATAAATAAAACATTGAAAAAGCATTTAAAAATGATATATAAAAATGGTTAAAATACGGTGTTATCACTATGCATATCATTGATGGACTAGGCGGATGCAAAGAATTTTTTTTGGAGGAACTGAATTAGCTATTTTTGTTTTCTTAGTCTATTTGGGATCGAATGCTGACACGCCTTTCGGTTTTGAGGTCATCGAAAATGATCTGGATGGTAGACTCTTATTTTGGTATACCATGTTAACACCGGATTTTAACCATTTTTATGGATCATTTTAATATCTTATGCAGGTGTTTTAACTCTGTTTTCAATGGTTTTTAAGTGATTTCTATGTTTTAGAGTTTTAAAAGATTTTTTAGGAAACTTGGACTAAAGATGTGCAATTTTGAACAAATGAGCAATTTTGGATAAATGCAGACCGTCAGAAGTATGTCACTCGATGAAGACGTTATCACCGTCTGATCATCCCAAAATTTGAGACAACATAGAGGAGATAACCAGATTTCTAATTCAATTGGTTTGGAGACAATCCAACGGTTATATCTTCAGATATTCCCGATGCACTAAAGACGGAAAATGCAGTCTCGAAGGAGAGCATAGGCCGCGACCGCAGCCAGACCATGATTCCCCGCGGTCAGGACCACCGCGACCGCGGCCAGACATCGTTGACTTCCGAAAGTGACCTAATTCAAGCCCAAGTTCAGCCTACTACTTATTCTTCAAACCCTAGACGTTTCCAACGAATTAAAAAGCTATATATACTTGTTTTAGGTCATTCTAATGACCAAGTCGTGGAGAGAGCAGAGAAGAGCCGCATACCTTCGGAGTTGCCGTCTTCGGGAGAAGAAGGAGTCGCCAAAGGAGCCATCATCAATCTACATCTTCATCCTCGTTCTTCATTCTTTACCTTTCTCTTATTTAATTTCCAGCAAACTACAATACTTCTGTGATGTCTTTATACACTATGATTGAGTAATTCCCTTGTTGGGTTTTAAAGGGATTTTCAAAGGGAATTCATGGATTGATTTTTGGTTTGTTAGATTAGGGTTTAGCTTTAGATTGCGTCGTTCAAATTTGTGTTTTGTTTATGTGGCTTGGATCGACCATCTAGCTACTGCGATTATGTTGAATTACTCACCGAAAGTGTTAATCGATTAACCCTATTTAGATGAGCAAATTCTCTTAGACGGCGTGAGTCAATCTAAAGCGTTTTGTGAAATTATCAAACTAATTTGTCTAGAAACTTAGAGAACTGAATGGGAGTTTAGTAAATCTGAGTGAATTGATTTGTGATTAATACTACTTGAGTAGGTTAGTCTGGGTTTGATTTCAGGAACATATCTATAGAAAATTCTATGTTTAATTCTCTTGTTAGCTAGTCTATGATTTCTGGTGAATTCCCTAACGCCCACCACCTTCTCGTATTGATTTGATCTTATTGTTTACTTGTTTTTAAGTTTATTATTTGCTATTTTCTACACTGTTCACAACCCCCAAACAAACATCCATATTTTCATCTTAGCTCAGTTTTCATCTCAAGTAAACTTGTATTGCAGTTACTTGGTCTTCAGTGGATCGACCCCTAAGTACTACAACATACATCTGTGCGCTTGCAGAAAACTATTAAAACTTGAGCACATGAAGTTTTTGGCGCCGTTGCCGGAGACCTTTAACGTTGCCTACGAGTTTCAGGTCAGAATCAAGTCTAAGGTACGTTCTCTTGTTCATTTTTGAAAAAAAAAATATTTATTATTTTATATAAAAAATTATATACATATATATAAATTAATATAAAAAACGAAAAATATAAATATATATATATATATATAACCAAAAAAAAATATTTATTATATATATATATATATATGTTAACATTAAAAGAAAATTTTTAAAAAATTATATATATATAAACACTAAAAAACAAAAAAATATAAATATAGGGGTTTTTGCTAAAAATAACCTAAAACTTGATTCTGAATACAAAAGTAGACATCTGAAAAAATATTTGGCAGAAATAACCTAAAAGGATAATAAAAAGACCATTTAATCCTGTATGACCAAACAAAAAATGGATGTCCATATTACCGTTTAAACCCTGACGAAGTCTACTAAAAAGAGAAAGAAGTCTAATAGTAGACTTCGTTCAATCAAAATAAAGTCTACTAAGTAACTAAATCAGGAAATTTAATTTTAAAATTTAGAAAAAATTATTTTGGTATCAAAATTACATTCATAAATTCCGTTATTGTAAATCAAATATACATAAACTATTTTTTCATATTGATAAATGGAAATTTATGTTTTTAAATAAGGAAGAAGAAAATCTATTATTTAGGTTTTAAATTTGTAGACTTCTATATTGAAGTCTGCTAAACCGAATAAATTAACGTAACCGAAATTTAAACCGAAATTAAACCCGAAATAACTTCCCTTAACCAAGAAAAACTGTCCGTAACCTGGTAAATTACCTAGTCTCTGAAAAATTATTAACCCTAACCGAAAAAAACTTATCCAAACCGAATGGAACTACCAGACTATATAAAGGAATTTTACAGATCCCGTAAAAAACCGTCGAATGTTCTTGTTTAAAAAAAAAAAGACGAAGGCAATTTCTGTTTCTCTTCTCTGGTGCCGCCGACTTACACAACCGCCGCCGATAAGCCCGTTCAGGCAAGTTTTCTTCCTCCAACATCACCCCCATGCTTCCCTACTCCTCCGTGTTCATCACCTTTCTGTTTTCGTAACCACTAGTGTCCTGATCTGAAATTAGGGTTTTTTTTTTGGCAGATTTGCTTTCGCCGCTGGGGGTTAACGTCATTTCCTGCTTCAAAACGGTTAGTAGATGTCCTTCCGAAGATATATACTTAGCTGTTCCTCTATTTCTTCTATCTTCCTGTAATTTTGTCCGTCGGGTTTGAGTACATAGGTTTT